TGGTTCAGTGCTGGTTACAAGGCCCTGAGCTTGATCTTCTCTATCGCAAAATGCAACATAAGTAAAAATAAACAAAAACATTATTTAGAAATTTGTTGAGGTATACAGTAATGATGGGTTTAGGTTTGTGATCCTTTTCAAGCCCACATCTTTTCTTGCTCCATTTTTTTTCCCCCTTTCTCAACCAAGAAAATTGGGCTATTGCACTTAATGATATCTGAAATTTCCAAATTTTTCTAATACTATAATTTATTGAAAGCTTGTTTTACCTTTAGCACTGAATTAGATACTTTGAGATTTAGACCTATTAAAACAGTGCATTTACATTTTTCTAGACCTATGTATTAAAGCAGCCACTAATATGTATCTGCAAAGCAGGGCTAGTGTGACTGAATTTTCATTTTATTTCTCTTGATTTAAATTTTAAATAAAATGTGGATACTACAATCATTTATTTTAAAAATTAATATACTCGAAATAGCTTAAGTATGAGAATCTGTTTTATTCCATGGTAAATATTGTGAGCTAGAAACATATTTAATGGCGGAACTGGAAAGTGCTATTGAGTGTAAAATAAAAACAAAAAGAAAGCAAAATTTCCCAATAATTCATTCCATGTTGAAATGGCGATACATTAGATATACTAAGTTCAAACAATGTAGGATCAAAATTAACTAAATTTATTTTTTCAAAAATGGCTAGTAGAACACTTAGGATTGCTCATGTGCACGGTGTTTCTCTCAGATGGCCTTGGAGGTCCTCCCCCGTAAACTCTAGTGGATGGTTGGATTGGCATAATGGCCCTAGTCCCTCACAGATTGTGTCACCATTTGGAGCAGACTCCTGAATCATCCTGAGTCACACTGTTCTTAGCTAGACAGACTCGTCCCAATTACTTCTGCCAACAGGGTCTAGGAGAGCCAGGGGATCTGATATAGTATCTTTGGTTCTAGGGGCTGTCCCATTTGTGATGTTCGTAAGAATTGTGGATAAAGCACTCTGGTGTCCTCATGTGACATCCTGTGCTTCAGAGGAGGTATGTCTTTGAAGGCCTGTACTCCATCCAACCTCAGTTCCTTTATTGGGTGGAGGTTCATGCCACACCTCTACAGAGTGGTTGAGTCCTCTTATGTCTGGCCACAAATGTCTGGAGTTTTTAGCTGTGAACAGGTGTGGTGGCTAATTTTATGTCGCCTTGATTCAAGCTAGAGTCATTATGAAAGAGGGAACGTCAACTGAGAAAATGCTCCCACCAGACTGGCCTGTGGTCCATTTGCTTGACTGATGATTGAGGTAGGAGGGCCCAGGGCACCTTGTGTGGTATCGTCCTTGGACAGGTGGTCCTGAGTGCTATAAGAGAGCAGGCTGAGCAAGCCATGGGAAAGCAAGCCAGTAAGAAGCACTCCTCAATGGCTTCTCCATCAGTTCCTGCTTCCAGGTTCCTGCCTTGAGTTCCTGCCCTGCCTTCCTTCAGTGATGGAGTATGATATGGAAGTGTAAGATGAAGTAAATCCTTTCTTCTCCAAGTTGCTTCTGGTCATGGTGTTTTATCACAGCAACAGAAACCTTAATTAAGAAACAGTTAAGAGTGATTTTTTTTTCTCTCTTCCCACATATATTGAACTCTAAGCCCTTAATATATAAATACTGGTAGGCATTCTAGGCATTATTTTTATGGAGGATGTGTCAGGAGTTTGAGTTTGCAGCCTTTTCTCTACAGAACACCACTCCCTACCCCATCTGTGGGCTTTAAACGAGATCAGGGAGAATCACTTTCTCTGGTCAATATGTGGTGGCTCACCTGGTCGGACAAAGAAAGATTATCTGTCTTGGTATGGTAGACAGTGGCGTGATCAGAGTAGATGGGCAAACATTTTTGACATGGGCATGATTAACTACAGTGAACAGGAAGGACAGCCTGTTCCTCGTCAGCATGTGAGTTCTCAGCTGGAGTATTCAGGGAACAAAACTCTATTCATTTGCAAGGACTGCCTTGACAGATACCAGAGTGAGTAACTTAAACAACTGAAATTGGCCTTCTACAGTCTAGAGTCTTGGGTTAAGGGGGACTGAGGGTCTTCTGAGGGGTCTCTGCTCAGCTCACAGATGGCTGCCTTCTTACAGTATCTTTACATGATTGTCCCTAGGCTTATCTGTGACCTCTCCTTTTCTAATCAGGACGTGGATCATATTGTATTAAGACCTTCTCATATAACCTCATCTTACGTTAACTGCCTATTTAAAGGTCACATCTCTGAATCGTCCTACTTTAGTATTCATAGAAGGTGCAAACGATTCGAGAGAATCCAATCAGTCTTTCACCACCATTCCTGGTCAGCGGCATCCAAAGATGTCAGCTCCATAGGGCAGAAGTAAAGACAGCAGAACAGCCCAGGAGGATTTCCTCTGCAAAGGAACAGCAGGGAGAACATATGTGGCTATGACTGCACTGACTCCTGAATTTCCCTGAGAGATTACAGTGGTCCAGAACAGGAAACCCCCGTTACACACAGTACCAGAGACCAAGCAGATGCGGAAGTCTCTGGAAGAACATAAGTCGGATCCCAAGCACAGAGTTATAGGACTGCAATGGTTAGCTTTGTTCGTGTGACCCAGAATCCACTAAGAGGTTCACGAGAGACTGTCTACATTGGGTTGGCCAGTGGACATGTGTGTGGGGATTATCTTAATTAAGTTAACTGGTGTGCCAGGCCAGCGTGGGTAGCACCATTCCCTAGGCAAGGGTTCCTAAACTGCTCAAGAGAAACTGAGCCAAGCACAGGCAAACCAGAGTGTGCATTATGTTCTGTTCTTGAGAGCGGATGTGATATTACCAGCAGTTTAAAGTTCCTGCCTTGACTTCCCCTCAATGATGAAATGTATCTGGGGTTGTAATAGAAACAAAACTCTTCTCTAAGCAGCTGTCAGGATCCTTTTTTTTTTTTCTTTCTTTTTTTTTTTAAAGCATAACAACAAAAATGAATCTGGAACAGGAGCATAAAGGCCACACACAGGTCAAATGTCTGCTGCACACCAACGTACACAGGTTGACCACGCTGGAGGTGCAGAGCACAGCCCAACAGTGAGTTCTGATAGTTGGAGGAGGCAACGAGCTCACAGTGGAAAAAGAAATAAAATGTAAGAAGACTGCTTAAAAGCCGGTGACGGGAAGGGGTGGCAGAGAAATGACTCGTTGGTTAAGAGTGCTGGCTGCTTCCGCGGAGGGCGAGAGTTCAGATTTTAGTACCCATGTCAGGCAGCTGACAGCACCTAAGGCCAGCTCTGGGTGGACACCTGGGGCAACACCTCTGGCGCCTGCCCTCTTAGGCACCCCCTCACGGTGCATGAATCATTAAACTGTTTGTTTTTTAATGTTGGCAGTGGGCTGGGGAGATGTCTCAGTTGGTCAGAATGCTTGCCACGCCACCACAAGGACCTCCGCACGGGTCCCCATGTAAGAAGCTGGACACGGCGCCACCTGCACCTGTCAGCTGTAAGCCCAGTGCTGGGCAAGTGCAGACCGGTGGGTGGATCCCAGGACCACACTGGTCAGCCGGGCGAGACCGTCTCAAAAAATAAGGTGGAGAGCTAGTGAGGCTGACGCCTGGGACCTTAGCCTCCAGCTTCCACATACACGCACACAGATGTACACAGCCCCACGCAAACGCACGCAACACACCCTTCCACACACAAAAGCTGGCAACCAAGACATTGTTGAAATTAAAACGGTACAGTTACACACGCATACACCAAGAACCTCAGGAAGGTACCGGCCCAGCCTTGGTGCTGAGATTTTGGGATGCAGCTGCTATTTCCTGGAAGAAAATTCGCAGTCTCATTGGTTTGTAGACACCAGACGAATCTGTGTCAGCGTGCGACTTTGTTTTCACCCTAACATGTACGCTTTCCTGACCAGAAAGAGACATTTGACAAAGCTTAGAGAATCAACATATTATTGAGGCCTGTTTAAATAAGTCAGACTTCAGGAAATGGCTGTGACGCTTTAAATGCATGTATCTTGGGACATAACCTGCTTGGAAGAGCACACAGGTGGCTTGGGGAAATCCTGGCTAGATGTGACAGAGGAAGAACAGATCCCCTTAAAATGTGGCTAAGATCTTTCAAAGGCAAGAGGATCCCACTAACAGCATCTTTCCCCAATTGTTTTTCACGCCTACAAAAAAACAACAACAAAACTCTTCACCAACCCTAGATTCTATGTGTATACATTACAAAGAAGTAGAAACCTTCTGTGTCTAGCAGGAAACTCTCAATTTTTAAGGTGTCTTCAAGAGGTACAGATCCTGGGGGCTGGGAGTAGAACTTAGCCCTTGCTTAGCATGTGAAAGGCCCTGGGGTCTCTTTGGACCCTTAACACTGCCAAAAAGATTAAAAAAAAAAAAAAAAGTTAGCAATGCACTTTGAGCGAATACAGGTTTTCATCTTTTCCCTTAGCACGGTAAACCAACAATTAGTTCGTCTTCAGACTCTCCTACAGTGCCTCGAGCCAGTGTCTCAGGACACCCAGCTGGAGAGATAATCCTGGAGTCGCCGTTTATGGTTCCAAGAACTCCCGAACGAACCGGTAGCAAACTTTCCAGTTTTCTCTATTTGTAGAGTGGGCTCGGCTGGTAAGGAAGGGGACAAGGAAGACTTAAAAAGCAGGACTTGGGTCGTCACGGTGGCAAACAGCCTGGACGCCTCCGGTGTCCCAACACTCACACCTCCCTGGACCACTCGGAAGGTGGAAAACGACGCGCTCGCGGACCCAGCCCACCCCGTCTCCACTGCCAGACTGCCAGCGGCAAAGCCTCCCGGCGCCTGGCGCCCCCGCCCAGGCCCCGCCCACTCCCGCTGCGGCCCCGCCCCGCAGCACGCGCCGCCGGCCGGCGCCCCGCCCCGCCCCCACGTGACGGCCCCACCCTCCAGGAGCGCTCCGACTGGCTGTCCGGCGCGCGGGGGCGGAGCCTCCCGAAGTACAGTGTCCCAGACGCGGCTGCACTTTTCAAACCTCAACTGTAAGAAGCTCGGGTCAGCGTCTGTGCGGTCGCCGCCGGGAGCCGCCTCACCCCGGGCCTGGCTGACGGCGACCGGCCGCGGTGGGCGGGCGGGACAGCGAGGTGAGCTCAGCGCTGTGGAGACGCGGCCCCGTCGGGGGGGCCTAGCCGCGGCCGGGCGTTCCGCGCCGGGGGTCCCGGTGCCCGATCGCCTCCGCGGCGTGCGGACGCGGTCCTCCGTGTGGCTCCGGGGCTCGCGTGCCGTGGGCGCGGGACGCCCTCGCGTCGGCGGGTGGACGCGCCCGGCCGGGAGAGGCTCGCGTGGGGCGCCCCCCGCGCCCCGGAGCCATCCTCAGAATACCCAGCCAGCCGCCTGGGCGCCTCCGGCCCGGCCTCACCGTGGGAAAAAGCGCTGCGTCCTGATGAGCGCGGACGGAGTTGGAGGAAACTTCACGGCCGGGCCGGCTGGGGCTGGGACGAGAGGCGCGCTGCCGTAAGCTTGCAAGTTGAAATTAAGAAATAGGTCTGAGAGCCTGGTAGTTTCAGTCGTACTCGGACCTTAGGTCTGTGTGTGACAGTCGCCGAGGGTTTGGCTGACGTCATGTTTACACATCCATGGCACCGATAACGCCGAACCTTGCCGGTAGGTTTGATACCGGGTGGACTTGTTGAGTTTTCAGGTCGAGGAGAGAGAGACCGTGCCTTTGGCCTCAAGGTCTGCAAAGATAACTAGGCAAGAGGAGGCATGTGAGACCTGGAAGTTGGAGCTCAAGGGGCGCAGGTTTTATTACACAGAGATGGAGACTCGCTTTCTCATTGGTACACCGCTGTACAGCCTTCTCGGTGAAATGCCCAGAAATGGAAGTTACAAGTGTATATATGATTATTTTGCGAGAAAGGTTGCAACTTTGGGCGCATACTTGATTATTCTCTTCTTTTCCCAAGCATTTAATTTATACTTAGTTGTTTTGAGCATGTAAATGAGCCCATTTTTTAATATTTGTTTATAACATGTTATGTTTTGATTGGTCACGTTGTTCTTTCCAGCTAGTTCAGAAGAGGATGTACTTGAGAAATCTGAATGGTAAAATGGTAGGTTTTTTTTTAATCATTTAAGGGTTAGATTCCATTTTACATTGTAATAGTTCCTGGACAAGCAGTACCTTGAGTGGTGCCATTAGTAAACGGTATGATAATTCATTTTACAACAGAGACCCAATTTTCCATTTGATGATTGACAAGCTCAGTGTAATGTTGGCTCGCCATTATTTCCGTTTCTCAATATCTTCTCATCCTACTTCCCAGTTACGGGATTTGTTTCTTGTTCTGAAGGTGGGAAGAGGTGGCGGCGTCCGGCCTTACTGTCTTGGCCCAGTATCAGGCTGGTTCCATCCCTGGGACTGTAACCCTGCTGTAATCGATACTCCAGTGGTTGGACTAGAGTCAGTTGGCTTCCTACTGTGATTTTCAGGGGATTAAGTTATTGAGTTATGCTTGCTGTTGAGTTTTAAAAACAAACATAACAGTGCAGGGCTGTCAGGAGAATACGTAGAACATGGAAATCATCTGTCAGCACCAATGCTGTCTTCCAGTCTCTGGCCAACCGACACAGAATCTTCAACATGACAGAACGTTGTCATTTCTTAGGGATGAGATAAGCACATCTTCAGTTTCTCTGTTTCCTGGACACAACTCAGTCTTGTTGGTGGCCATGTAGAAGAGAGAAATTGCTTCCCAGCCATATTACCTCAAACTTTGTCGTGAAGGTGTAGATTTGTCAGTCTTTGGACAGGACGAGTACGTGGCCTTCAGGGTGTTCTTAGCTAGCACAGATACCTACATGAAAACAGTCTTCATGAAACCTAGTTTGGAGCAATCAGTAAGCGCAGACTGAATGGTTTTTTATTTTAAATTATAAAAGATGCTAAAATAATTTTATTCACATTTCTGAATTATGTGACTACCTTGTTTTGAGCTGAAATTCTATTAGAGCAATTTTAAATATTTATTTAGCCAACTGCTGAAATAAGCAGAGACTGTTGAAAGCTTTGGTACTGCAATTTCAAGATAAATCTCAGGTAGGCTAATCCTTTAGATGTACCTAAAAAGGCAATTGGTTATGTGTTATTACAGCATTTTGTTCAGACATTTTAAATTCTTGCTAAGTACACCATGCTGAGCTGCTTAAGCTGAAGCAAAAGGTCACTGTCCTTTAGACACCAGATAGGACTGCAACCCAGCGTTAGATTTCAGGTAGAGGGCATGTCAGGAGTTCTCTTGTTTGAAGCATAAAGGTAAGGCATTAAGTCAACCTGTGGGTTTGAGGCAAGGCTTCCTGAGGCAGAGCATGAGTAAGAAGTAGCCACGTACAGAAAGCTAGAAAGGATATTTCAAGCAAAGAACTAAAGCAAAGAAGTGGAAATAAAATATGAGATTGAATCATGACAGGAAATGAAGCTAGTGTATACTCAGCTTCCAGGGTCTTTGAGTGTCATGCTACAAAGGATTTTAAGTTATAGTTCCTGGGGCTAATAAAGGAATCAAAGCAGGCAACTTATTTCTTAATGCTTTCATTAATGTACTCTGTAATTTCTACATTCATAAGCTCTTTCACTTGGAAACCTTGAAATGAATATTGCAATGAATAACTTTTAAATGGAGCTAGTTAGAGATTTAAAGGATGTTTATTTAGTGTTCATCACACTTGCTTTCTTCATTCAGTCAAGGCACAGATCAAATCTAACATTTCATTCTTTTCCTTCCTTCATTGATCCGTATCTCAGTCCTTATTGTAATTATTCTAATGGGAGTTAATGAAAAAAATTGGAGAAAGTATGACACCATGCTAATATGATTAAAATCTTACTTGTATCCTCTGTTATGCACTTATGCCTTCTGGCACTGTGCCTGTAATTCTTTACAAACAAAATTTAGTAAGTCCCTGAAGATATTTTTATTAGCATTGTCTGATAAAACATTGTCTTCATAGTGAGTAAGATATTCGTAATTTGTGAATTTAGAATAAATTATATCCTTACTTAGAATTGGTTGTACCTATAAATTGTAGAAGAGAAGATCTATAGATTGTTTATTAGAAGCAAGAGAATTTGGTGGTGGTTTTAGGGCCTACAAGGAGAGACAGAGAACTGATTGGTAGCCCTCATGTGTCTTACATGACAGGCAGCCCTTGTTTGTAAAGACTTTGGTTGACAGAGGTGACATTTATGCTTCATTATATGCAAAATTGACTAGAGGAAGTGAAATGGGAAAACAGACTGACAACTCATTTAAGTGTAGTAAAAAGGCAAACAAGAAAGCTGTATGGATCCTTAAACAGCTTCTGACGCAGGTATATTGGCAATAGGTAGATGTGCCTAAGATTCAGCTTCTTGAAATGTCTTCTGAGACAAAGCTTGCATTTTGGAGATGTAGAGCCACAATGAACTGACTCATAATATCAAAACTCATTTTTGCATTTAAATGTATTTGAAAACTTGCAATTGCTTAACATTTGATTATATCCATTGTCATACAAGTATGGCTTATTCATTCATTATAATGACTGTCAGTTCATATGAGTGTTACAGAATTTGTTAGGATATGAAGTTTATATATGCCAAAGCCCAGTTAGAAAAGTCCTTTAAGTAGGCTGATCAGTAAGATCCAATTTAGGTTGTCATGTTAGGGTTATTTTTATAAAACTATGTTTATTTCTCATTTCTCTCTTAACCTGGCTATCACACAAATAATTGAGACTCAGTTATATTATTTTAACAAGCTTCACAGCACAATCCTGAGCAGTATTAACTCTCTTCTTAGCCCTTTAAACTAATTTGGCTTCCTCCCAGCATGCATCCCAGCCAAACTTGTACTTTGTAGCTTTCTTTGCTGAGCTCTCTCTCTCCTTGTTCCTCCTGGACATCTACCTGTGGCTGCATCTTTGGCTGAATCCTCTAACTCCTCCTCCCTTGGCTGGCAGGATGTCCAGCCTTATTCTCTCCCTTGCTCAGTGATTGGCTGTAAGCTGCTTTATTGACATATCAGGGGACAATTGAGGAGCACTGTTTACACAACATTTAGACAGGAGATTCTCAGAACAAGGATTACAACCAGATATGGGGAATACATCAATATTTGAATTACAATATTTGAATTGTAACCTTATGCCTACACTATCATTACGCATTTTGGTTCCTATTATTTAAAAGAAGAGTATTTTCTCTTCATATAACTGAATTACAGGCTTTGCCAAACAATTCTAATTAGCTTTTGGAGGGTCCCAGTATAAATCTGGACTTACAAATCTCAATAGTCACTATCATTCCTACCTACCTACACAAATATGTGTGCTATTATTTGAAAAATTCATACAGGTATACAATGTGTTATAATCACATTTCCACCCTCTCCCTGCATCTTTTGTTAGAGCTTGCTGCCATCTCCCTCCTAACTTCCTGTCCTTAGTTCTTTGATCTCCCTGAGTCTAGTTGGTGCTGTCCATGCGCACTCATCACCCACATGAGGAATCCTTCAGGGGCCACGCTCCTGAAGACCGGTGGCTCTCCTCCACTAACAGTCTCAGCTACTGTAGGCTCCTCAGCTGGGGCCAGGGCCGTGGGGGCCTCTCCATGCTGGAACTCAGCAGCTGTGAGTTGTGTGCGGCAGCCGTGTCTTGTCTGAAGGACACCACAGTGCTCCTCCCTGTCCTCCAGCTCTTATGTTCTTTTCTCAAATGTTTCCTGGAAAAAAAAAACAAAACATTTTTAATGTTACTGACTAGTCATTATATAGAGTTAAAACTAAGTTTATTCATAAAATGTGAAGTATTTTTATGTACATTTAAACAATGTAATGATTTTTGTTTAGTAAATAGCCTGAAGTTGTCCATGGTCTCTGCATGAGCTCTGACCTGTGATTTGGGTAAAGAACACCATCAGCTATATGTAAATGCAAAGAAAAACCTGACCAGTAATGGCTCTTGAACTTCAGGCAAAGTCAGTTCTTGCTGTGTACATTAACACCTTTGTGTTTTCTGGCCACACATCCACAGCCATTTTCTATAATAAGGAAGACTTTGTGAGTTTTTTCATTGTGTAGTCATATTATTTTAAGTTTAAATATTCGTTCTTAGGAGGTGACATGGCAGCCATCACACTTGTCTATATTAATTATTGAAGTAGTTCTTGAAGTTTATATAAGCTAGAAATAAATTCTAATTACCATAATCTCACTAAGAATGACTGCTATGAATATTTTACTATAATTTTCCAATCTTCTGTTGACTTTAACAGTCTACCTGCAGATTTATCATATTGTTTATACACTTTTATGTCTTTACTTTCATACTTACTGTGTTAAAAAGTAATCTTTGAAAGTACAACTTTCTTGAGTGTTATATATGTTGGATTTTAGAGTTTATGAATTCAACAGGTCTTTGGAGTGTTTTTAAACTTATAAATCATGCGTAACTAAGCATAACTCTTTAATGCAATAAAAGGATCATATTGTCACTTGAAATTTGATAATAGAAAATAGATAATAGAACATTTATGAAATGTTCTAGACTCCAAAATCTATATGAAATAAAAATTAAAACTCATGAGCTTGTCTCTCTGATTATCATGTTCTTCGTTGGTGAAAAGTGTTGGGAAGATAGCCTAGTTATATCAGTGATTAAGCCTGTCCCTTCTCTTTGTAGAACTGAGAATAACATAAGCATAAGCATAAGTGTAGACTTTCAAGTGTAGGTACAGAATTCTAAAGTCCAAAGGTGGTAGAGAAAAGGCTTGCCCTAACTGGCTGACTGAAGATTGGTAGCTGCATTGATTTTTAGACAATGAAAGGTGACCGGGGAAACAATGCCTTTGGAACTAAGAAGGTTATGAAGACGTTAGCTGAGCACCAGGTGTGATAGCACAGGCTGTAATCCTAGCACCTAGAGATAGGATTATAACTAGTTCAAGGTCAGCCTAGATTACACAGAGAGTTCTAGGACTGGACTGCATAGTTGAGACCCTTAAAAAAAGAGAGAGCTGTTTACTTTGGCTATTTTCTGACAGTGTTTTCATATGTCTTTCATGTGTTTTTATGTCTTTTTTTTTCTTATAAGAACACCAGTCGTGCTGGATTAGAGCCCTATCTTAATGGTATCATTTTAACTCAGTCACCACCTTAAAAGCCCTTATCTGAAAAAGCAGTTGCATTGTGAGGTAGTGGGGGTTAATATTTCACTTAACAGACACAGGAAGATGTAGTTTGGCCTATAATGGTAGCTGCTAGGATTTGAATATATTTTACCCTCCAAACTCTTGTTGAATTCCCTTTGTGAGGTGCTTTTTTCCTCCTCTTAAGACAAGGTTCTGTTGTATAGTCCCGGCAGACCTCATGTTCACTGTGTATTTCAGGCTTGCCTCAAACTGTTAGCAGTCCTACCCTAGGCTTTCAGACTGCTTTAGTCTTCTGAGTGCTGGGATTATAGGTGTATGTGCCACCACACCCAGCCATTGTGAGGTGTGAAGAGGGTGAGGACCTCAAGTCTGTGGTTAGAGCCACTGGGAAGTGATTAGGATTAGATAAGGTCCTTATATTGGAGCCCCCGTGGTGTGGTGATGAAGTATGCTAGTGGCTTTCTGAAAGCAGGGAAAGAAACCAGACGTACACACACTTATCCCTTGCAATGTGATTCTGTGATGTCTCTGGACTCTTCAGCAAGAAGGCCAGCATCATTTGAGGCTCCTATGCCTTGTACTCCAGAACTGTAAGCTAAAATAAGCACATTTTTCTTTATTAATAGCCTGCCTTGGGAATTTCAATATAGTAACAAAAACCAGACTGATCCCATGGGGAACTTAGAACTATGTGTATGGCCTTTAGCTGTACTGAAAAGTAAATGGGATTCAGACCCAGCAGCATTTCAGCACAGTTCCCCCAGCATTGGCGTTCCTAGAGATGTATCCCAGCTATTTTCCCCAGAGCCAAAGGTCAGAGAGAGACGATTTACAGATTTGAAAATCAAACAAAATAGGAACAGAAAGGCCGTACTCCAATCACACTGCCTGTTTGCCAAGTAGAAGATAGTAGTTGGCATTTGTATGTAGCAAAAAACAAACAACAAACACAGTTGCTCTCAAGCAGGAAGTGGGGAGGGGGATGTGGCAATGGAAACAGTCTAGAGAGTTTTTATTGGAGAGTCCTAGCAGAATAATTCTTGATCTTTCCCTAGGCAGATGTGGCAGAGAGTCCACCATAATTACACAAACTTGGTTAATATGAAATAGTAATTTCATATTAAAACTGGTTTCATAAAGTACCAAAAGTTGCAGACAGTATGAACTTCAGATATGGATTTGACTCTGAGTTTTATTTATGATGAGTCACTGACCCAGCAAAATGATTAGAGTTTTCACAGATGACACGCTCAGCACTGGGTTCTGCCAAGGGAAGAACTCCTAAGGTCTGGGGAGTTTCTGGATTTAGTTTTGGAAAGTAGCCAATCAGTGAGCAAGTTCTATTTCTTGTCTTTCACAGGACAGTAATAAAACTCAAAAAATCTGAATTTGCTACCAACATTGTTTGGTCATATGAAGTTGAAACAAAGTCATTACATTCGTATATTAAGTTCCAACATCTGTAAGGCTGTACCTTAAAAGAATGATAAGTCATAATCAAATAAAAATGATACCTCATTCTACTTTTATCAAGTATTTTTTGCTGTTTTTATAGCAGTTTCATTGAAATGACGTCGGTAGCTTTGCTTAGGTGCATAGGGGAGAGGTGCCAGTGTTTGTATGTGCTTCTACCATTCTGTTGATGTGAACAGAAGAAGCTCCTGAAATAGGCAGTGTCTGTGTTGTTCTATCTAATACTATATTTGGACTTGTCTAATGTGATGCACATCCTGCCAGCCCGAGATAATGTCTTTTTTTCTCAGTTACATTTAAGTTACATCCTTTCTCTTCCTGTCTCTTTTAACTAGGTGAAGTGCCTAGAGAAGCAGTCTAGCAGTCATCAACATGTCTCGGAGAAGGTTCGATTGCCGGAGTGTCTCAGGCTTGCTAACTACAACCCCTCAAACGCCGATAAAGATGGAGAATTTTAATAATTTCTATACACTTACATCAAAAGAACTCGGGAGGTAAGGAAAATTTGATGTGAGTACTGTCTAGATTCAGATTTCTTATTTGTGTTATAAAACACACTTGGAACCATTATCAGTAATTAGAAAGAAAAGCCATCATCTCTGCTTTCTTAACCGAGCAGAAAATCAGTTCTGTGGAGGAGTTCATATCAAACATCCCTCGCAGCTTCAGATCTCTTTTCTTTCTGCATCTGCGTCTGCATCTGTGAATGGGAAGGGACGGATCAGGCTGCCACGTGCTCATCTGCACTCTGCTGTTGATTGTGTGTGTGACTTCGTTTAGATTATAATACTTCCTAGTGCCAATGTCATCTGAAAAGGAGATGAGGATAATTGCATTTAATTTATTAGGATTTTGTAAGGTTAAATTACTTAATATTTATAAGGTGCTTAGTACAGTATTAAATGTTTTCATTTAATACATTCTTTTTTATTTCTAGCTACTGTGGCTGTCTAAAAGAGAAATAGAGAAATGCTTCTTTATTCCACACATGTGTACTCATAAATATTAAACTCATGTCTGATATCACAAAGAATTGGTGTTTTATATAAGTAGAAGCCTGTATAAAATCTGCCTTGGCTTAACCAAATTACATTTCTATGGCTAAGCTTGCTGTTAATGTTTAGTAGTACAGTAATTTTTAAAATGTATGAGACTTAGAAAAACTATGCCAAGTTATTTATCTGATATGTGTCTTCTTTTTAACTAAATGTGATTATGAAGGGTTAGAAGATAGTAGTCATATAGTTTTTTGTATGTGTGGAGGTAAATGTTTTTGCTTATGGTTTATAAAGTGTTTTTATTGATGGATGAACAAAACAAACAACTTTATGATTAATTTTTACCTGAAGATCTTCAGCATGGGATCTCAAATTGGCTAGACTATGAAAATGAATTCTTTGTGTCTTTTATGTATAAGGTAGAGGCAAGTACTGGCCTTCCCTTGTTCTTTAGGTGTTTCACGCAGCCTTTTTTCATAACATAAAGATGAACCATTTTGCAGACATAGAATATTTTGCTTTCCGCTCTGCTAATCTCTACATGATAGGTAGACATGGCTTTCTTTTGGTAGCTGTAATATACACTTAGATGAGAGTCTTTAAAACAGTTAAACAAAGCTGAACAGAAGTAGAGTCCTTAAGTGCGTATCATGTGATCAGTATGTAGACGGCCTTCCTTGGTCTCTTCTGGACCACCTTCTGCTTTTGATTGTTCCTGTAAAACAAGAGGCTTTGTATTAGACACAGCGTTTTGTTCATAGCTTATTTTTTAGATTATAAGCAGACTGCTGAAGAAGCCCAGTATTCCATTAGATGCTCTTTCGCCTCCTTCAATAATTGTTCCCCTCTCTCCTTTTCTTCTTCCTTTCTTCTATCCATTTTTACCACTAGGGATGCCCAATTTGTGTCTTGTACCATCATATTATTCTGGCCAAGCTACTTACTTGAGTTACCTTTGCTCTGGATCAAAATTTGTGAGATGTTCTTAACTGTGTAGTATTCTTTTTTTTTTTTTTTTTCTTAGTTGAGATGATAGAGTAAATGTGTTCAAGTTGCCTTTATTGTAAAACATTTGGCAACTGCTCTGAACAGATACTTAGACAAAGACATAAGCATTCCTACCTGTTCTTCAAGGTCAGTAATTGGATGAGTAACTTTAGTAGATTAACTAAAAAATAATAGGTATGGAAGCTAAAGATGGTTTTCTTCCTTAACTTTGTAGAGGACTTGACTGTTAGCTTTAAATTGTCTATGGTGAGGTGATGTCACAAGGAACCAGCATGAACTGTAGTTAGTTTGCTTTTAAATGTTTTAAAGCAAAAGCTTATCATAGGGTCTCATTAAAACAGTCAGATTGTGTGTGTCCCAGTGTTGGATGTCTTCATGAAAGAGACTTAATCGCATCTTTGAATTGCTTTGGGCTAGTGACTCACATGGTAAATATTGGTGCATTTAATTTTCAATGTTGGCAATTAAAAATCTTATTTTTAAAATCTTCCATGCACTTTAAAGTCCTGTCAAGCTTGTAACCAGTCTTAGGATGCAGGCCTAAGGTTCTGACCCTGTTTTCTCTGGGAGGCTTGCATAATTTATAATTTAGAAGCATAATTCTAGCCTGTGGAAAACTTACAAGCTGTCTTTCTATATCAGCTGGCTTTAAAATTAATTTTAAAATGTCAGTGTTTGAGAACATATTTCCCTTTTACACCACAAAAGAAAATAGATAATGTAAGTCTAAGTTCATTTTTCACTCTTCTCAAAAACTGCATTGTTCCTGTTTTTTAACATGTTGGGTAAGTTTTTTTTCCACCCCTCCCCCAGCCGGGGCAGAGTTTCCTAGGCCTGTGGTTAGAAGGGAGAGGCAGATTCAGAAATAAACGTCAGCTTCCTTTGTGGCTTCCCTCCCCATCTCTTCATATTTCATTGTGTGTTCTAGCATGCAGAGGGTAACGGTTAGACTTTTCACTGCTGGGAAACCTAGTCAGCCTTGCCCTTTGATGGTGGATGTTGCTGATTATTATTAATCGTTTTAAGATTTTAAGGTTTCTTGGCTATTTCTCTTAAATTTGGTACAGGAACATATACTGAAGATTATTGTTAGACTTCCAAACTACAACTGGCATCTTAGAATATAAAACAGATACTTTTTCCCCCCTTAAAGCCTCTGATAATATTTGTCTTGTTTCACAGTATTCTGAGGAATATAGCATTATAATTATGTGTAAATATATTGATGTAACTTTATTGACATCTCAAATTTTTAAAAATGCAAATGTGGGCCAGGGTAGAGTGGTGGTACATGCTTTTCGTCCCAGCACTCTGGAAGCAGAAGGCAGCTGCAGATCTCAAGCAGAGGCCAGCTTGGTCCTAGATGGGCAGGGCTACACAGAGAAACCCTGTCACAAAAAACAGACAAACAAAAACAAAAAAGAAAAAGAGCACATGTGGACTTAAGAACATAACACAGTGTGTGTATTACAGTAGTCTCAGGTGCTGGCCCAGAAACACTTCAGGTGCTGTTGTGTCAGCTAGCTAAATACAGATTTTACAGACTCGATTAAGTACATCAGATATGTTTGCTGTCCTCATAGAGCTTTTCCTTAGCAGTGAACACTGTCAGGAGAACCATCACCCATGATGTTGGTCAACTTTGCCCTGGATTCACGAATATAAGAGTAGTTTAAGAAAATCTTAGGAAGGCCTGAAACAGTGAGGTAAAAACATAGGAAACTTGTTAATCTTGCTACTTGTTTTCAAAGCAATCTAGCTCACAGACACTGTCAGATAGCTGGAGTGCAGTGATGTCACCCTACTGTGCACAGTGTGTCTCTCAGATATGTAATACCCTTGGCTTACTGGCTTCTTTCCTAAATTTTACAGGGTGAGGCTTTTTCTAAAACCCCAAATCCTCTTTTTGTTTTAGAGAAGTTTTTGTTCTATATCTGAGTAAGAATTGATAGATGTTAAACTTAATAAATAAATCCATTTTAAGGGGAGAAATTATTCCATAGTTGTGAGACAAGAAAGTTAGAAATTCTTGGCACTTGATAGGAAAGGATCAGGTTTGTACATGCAGCATATTTAGTTGAGGTATCTTTTAATAAGTGCAGGCTTCAGTGTAGTTTGTATACTTTATTCCATATTATTGACTCTGATTTTGAGGTGATTGGGAACTAATGAAGAGAAATCTGTCCTTCTGGTTATTGGAAGTGACAATCCAGTTAAGCAGTTTATTCTCCTAACCCCACACATTGTAAACATGGTTAACCTGCTATCAGTTGACCATCTGTGTTAGAAGTATAGTTCTGAGAGTAAGTGTAGCAGTGAAGTTAAAATACCACAGTTTCTGGAGATTTATTTGTTCTTAAGTTAGTAGCAGAAACTACAGTGTGACTTATCCTTTCTTAGTTATTAAATTGGGATTTTTTTAGACTAAAGCCTAGAAGGTTTAGGTTTCAATCTGAAGACCCTCTGGAATTGAATGTAAACATTCCTATTTAAGGACATTTGCACTTTTGAAGTATGCAAATTAATGATTTCTTTAGTTCTTAAATAATAATAATAAGTAATAAATAATCCTTGTTTCAAAATAGCTTTACACTTTGTAAAATAATAGTACATAATAATATGTATACATAATAATAATATCTATAATATAGTAATAATAATGTAATAATAATAATAATACATGCATATACCGGAGAAATAATCCTTTTGCTTTTAGGATTGGGTAAGATGCTAAGTACTTTTATTAAGGAGTTAAAAGCACATATACTTTTCTAAAATGATAAACATGAGATAGTAAACTGGTGATCACCCTTAATTTCTTAGTTGATCATAAAATGCATTTGAATGCCCTCCATAGAATCTGTATCCCCTAGGTATTTTTTAAAGGCATAGAGTTGGTAGGCACATGAAATTATCAAATACACTGAAAATACATTATACCAATAGCAAAAACAGTTTATCTGTTTTACTGATAGTAAAAATAGTTTATCCTGCTATGATAGTTAATCATCTATGTTTTATGTGGTAGCATTGTAGACTTTATAGAAGAGCATATGGTATTTGAATCAGCTTGTAGAGAAAAGAAAATTTCTTAATGCCACAGGTATATGAAAGAGTTCACTTTAAGTTGGTGGTATAAAATTGGCCTTTTCTTTCTCTCTAGAGGAAAGTTTGCTGTGGTTAGACAGTGTATATCAAAATTGACTGGACAGGAGTATGCTGCCAAATTCCTGAAGAAGAGGAGAAGAGGGCAGGATTGCCGGGCAGAGATCGTGCATGAGATAGCCGTGCTGGAGCTGGCCAGGACATGTCCCCATGTGATCAATCTGCATGAGGTCTATGAAAATGCAACTGAAATCATTTTGGTGTTAGAATAGTAAGTATGTGCTTCCATAAGTTTAAGGTGTTTATTTTAATTGATGCAATATGGTGTGAAATGTCGAAGATAATAGCAGTATGACAACATTTATAAAGATGCCGGTTGATAAAATATTAAACATAGTTTACAATCAAACATTTTGACAAGGCTAAATGTATAGCCTCACACATATACACCAAAACTAATTAACAGCAGGTAATAAAAAATAACACAACAGTTTGGGAATATAGTTACAAGAATTTAATTTCATATTAATAGTACATATATTGAGGTTTTCTTCTAGAAATAATCTAATGACAAATAAAATTGAAGTCATTTTTATGTTTTGCTAATCTGTTTTAATAAAACATGTCCAAGGAAATGATTCAAGAAGAGGGCTTGCAGAAAGATGAGTACTACATTGTTCAGACATTTATAGTACATATGATGTAAAAAGCAATATCAGCAACAGCCAAAAGAGAGAAAAAAAGTATCTCTTGTTAGTGAAAAAATTGAAAACATTAAAATACTCAGTAATTGATGAAGTGGTATGCGTATATGGGCTTGCTAACCCATAGATCCACATCTGATACAGTTACAAGTGTTTTAAGATGGGCAACATTTGAAAGAGATTAGTAAATTAATACTGAGTTCACCTCTGGTTTAGATAGGTTTTAGTAAAGTAAATCCAATGTAGCACAAACTCAAAAAGATAATTACTATTTAAAAGAAAATAATGCTACAAACTATAGTAATTCTTTTTATCAGCCAATGTACACAATATATTGCCCTTTGAATTTAAAAGTGTATTTGTCCTATTTTATTTTATTTGTACATGTGTGTATATGGAGTATGTGTGATGTATGTGTTTATATGTGGTATGTGTGTGTAATGCATAGTATGTGGAAGCCGGAGAGAGATTTTAGGTGTCTTCTCAATTGATCTGCACTTTATGTATTGAGTCTGGGTCTTTATATATTGAGTCTGGGTCTTTCGCTGACCCTGAAGCCAGCTCCTTCTGCCAGTCTTGCTGGCTTGTTGGGTCATTGGATTTCCTGTCCCTTCCTCCTGTGCATTAGGATTGTGGGCGGGCTACCAGATGTGCTTGGTGGACAGAACTTGGTCCTCATGCTTGCTGGGCAAGTCCATTACCTCCTGACTCACCTCCCCAGCTCTTACAACTTTTGTTTTAGTATTCATATTGTAAGGAAGTAAAGACTTATTCATGTTTTTTTCAAATCAATTGTTTTGTGCAAGGAAACAGATTTGACTAAAACTAGTTTGAATGAAAGCGCTGATTTTTAACAAGTTAAACTGACATGTAGTTTACTGAACAATGAGTAGTATATACATTTCTCAGAACAAGATGCCATGAAAATGTGTTACAGAAGCTGCAGAGTGAGTTAGAACAGCAGGAAAGATCAGGACACTACCAATGCCATTCCATTTTTCATTTTTGTCAAAGGTTCTTCAGCTGCCTTTCCTCTAATTTCCTGTAAACCGTGGGGAGAGTAGCTAATATTAGGAACTGGTAAGGAAGTATTAGGTGTGGTGATGAATACAGGACACTGACTGTGTTAATAAAATCCTGTTTGGAGTTCATCTGGAGAACTACAACAAAACATGATATATTTTATGTGTAGATTGTGTTCACAGTCTCATAATGGTACCCTACCCAATGAATTAGTAAACCTGATGGTGATCTCACTGCCTCTGACTGAAATATAACCAGCCCTCAACAAGTGTTTGAGTAGATCAGCATATTTAATTTTTTTAAGTGACTAAGACTAGAATTTATTGGTAGGATTGGGGCTTGATCGTGTCTGTCACTTTGTGGTGGCAGTGTCATAGTAGCCATTCATTCTCATTTAGTCCTCACAGTTTGGCTGGAGATGATTTGTTTTAATAAGGAGACATACTTTTTATATGGTTAAAATGAAATACTGGATGGATTTACTCTGATCATTGCAAATTAAATTTTCACCTCAGACCATCCCGTGTACTCATTTCCACTTTACAAAATTTCAAGCCTATGAACACTTGGAAAAATGGTATAATCGGCATGCACGCCTTCTTTCCTTTGATTCCTCAGTTGACATGTTGACTTCTTCACTGAACGTGGTGTTTCTTTTGTGTACTGCAGGATTTGTTGTGAAGAATAAGGCATTCTGCACACCAACATGACTATCAAACGCAAAGTCAGCATACGTTTTAGCTGGGACCGTTATATGTAGTTGTATTTTATTTTTTATGACATTGACTTTTGGGGGTTGTGAATGATCACGTGTCACAGGAAATGTCACGTATTCTAGGTTTGTCTGACTGTATCCCCATCATTAGAGTGTAACATGTTTGGCAAGGACAGTAATGTGGGTGATGTGTGTTTCCTGATGCATCACATCGGGTGGCATTAACGTCAGCTGGTTTTATTACTGGTTTTGTTAAATTTGAAGATGAGTAAGGCAGTCTGCCAGATCTTCATTATAGAGGAAGTTAACTAATCTGAGTGATGCTATTGAGTGCCCTGCTCTTTGACAGATTTCCATCCAGAAATGTCAGTAACCATTGACATACTTGATGAATTGGCATCCCTAGAGGATGTCAGAAAATGGTTCATTATAAATTCATTAAACTGGCATTCTTCGTATAAAAGTGTTTCTTTTCTTTTTTTCCTCCCTTTTTACTATCACTATGTATTCATGGTTTTGTTAAACTATTAAATTGAATTAATTTAAAACAACCCATTATGATCAAATTAGTAGGTCCCAATCAGCTTCTTCCATTATTTTTCCTTTATTCCAAATTTGTCCTGAATTTATCGAAGATTAAAATGTGTCAAGTAGGCTCGAAATCTCCATTCTGTATCTTTCTGATGTGATCAAATCAGTGTCTGCAGCCTTCCTGGCTCTGCACACCAAGGTCTCATTGACTTTTCCATGGCTGAACTGGTCAGCCGCCTCTACACGACTCGCTGGTTTCAGTGGGGTGGCATCCGTCAGTTCAGCATAAACCTGCTAATACCACACCTGGGAGCAAGCAACTGGAGTACCCCTCCATCTCTCTTTTTCTTTTTCTTTCTCTTTCTTTCTTCCTTTTTGTCATTCCTTTAAACTGAAGTATGGCCCACTATGGCATGTATTCAGAGACTCAGAGTTACAGAGTTAGGTTAGATCCATTTGCTTCTATTTATAGTCAGTATTGTATTGGGATTTCACTTTTAGGAACCCCTTAAAAATCATTTCCAACTATAAGAAAGGTTTGCATGATTTAGAACTCAAAGACTTGTAAGAAAGCTTGGTGTGTGTGTGTGTGTGTGTGTGTGTGTGTGCGCGCGCGCACGCGCGCGTGTAAATGGAACCCAGGACCTCATTCATTATAAGCACATGCTGTATCACTGTGTCATGTCTCCAGAACCATATATGGCTAATTTTCAAGAGACTCCATTGCATGGCCTGCTGTTTTATTTGGCCTGTTGTACATAGGTGGAGCTTCAGGGCAAATTCCTGGAAGTTGATTGCTGGCTCAAAGGATAAATGTGTGTCCAACTATACACAATGTCTGAATCCCCCACAGTCATTTAAAAAAGTAGTGTTATGAGTTACTGCATTTGCTAACTTTGCAATAATGTATAAACTTTCTTTAGCAATTAATATGGCTAGGAGTTCTGATAGTTCTATTGTATTTTTATATTTTCCTGTTTTGCCTCAATTAATCTAATTTTTTAGCCAAATTGTTTATTTTTGTAAATGAAGCTGAAGTTCTTATGATCACTTTGTAACTTTTAAATAAAAACCTTTTATTTTTATCGAAATATATAGCTTGCATAAAAATACTTTATTCCAATTATAATGTCTCTGTAACTGTTTTAATCCTTTTTTTGACTGTTTAAATAAATAAATGGCTACTTTTCTAGAAGGTGGTATTGTTACATCTTTTTATAGGTTGAGGAGAGATTTTGAGACTAGTCCAGTCACTGATTTCCACTCCATGAAGTGAACACTTTGTCCATATTAAGTGCTTTAAAAGCATGTGCATGTAATTAAGGAAAATACCTAACCAAAGAGAATATGTTTTCTGAATGAACACATGATATGAAATTTTTAATAATGCTCAATTTTGAGCAAACTAAGATTAATTATGGCATAGACTTACTGACTATGGGACAAAAGCTGCCCTTGAAATAGAATAGCTTGAAAGGGGAACTTGCTTATAGTTTACAAACAGTAATTCTGCAGTTATGTAGGACAGAAATACCTTTTCTTGTAGGAAATTACAAAGTTCTGTCTGTTAAATATGTCATTTGAAAGTCCAGTATATTAGCTAATTTAGCAGCAACCAGACTGACACTTGGGCAGACTTGATTTCTATGACAACCCCCCACACACACACACACACAGTACCCTGCTCACGGTCTTGCTCTATGATTTTCTCCGCTCATGGTGTATTCTGTGCCTTGTAAAGTGCCTAGCAAACACATTTCTGAAAACCTAAAGTGTCATCTCTTTGCTTTCTTAGAATTGTATTCGCGGTGTTATGACTGCTAATCTCATCTTGGTCCCATTACAGGGATGTAGTTAGACCACTCCACTTTTGAGTGGGATTTTTTAGTCACAGTAAAGAGTGTAACTAAAGAGGGAGGGGTGCAGGTGGATTGCCAGCCGACACCATGGACTCCCACTCCTTCCTCAGGAGCCCCTGGGGAAGGGTGTGGAAGGTAAACACTGATGCACAGGTGAAGTTTTCATGAAGACACATTTATTTCTTTGCTTGCAGTTTTTTCCTATCTTGCCTTCCAGTGCCTGCATTTGTAGTTTACTAATATAAAAGCAACAGCCATGTGAAATTTCTGGCACTTAGACCACCTTTATCATGATACCTTGAGTCAGACAATATGTTAGTTCCTCATGAATTTTCAGGTTTTGGATGTGTGGGACAGGAGGAAGTGGAGTGTGTGTCATTGGTACCTTCAAACATGTTCCTCACCAGCTGATAGTTTTTCCTGTGTTGTCATAAACCAGGTGCCAGCATCAAATCTTCATGGCTTTCTATGGCTTGCTATGTACAGATTAATCAGTGACAGCTTACAGCTACAGTGTAAGCTTTGGTGCCTGGAATTTAAGTTTGAGACTATCGAATCCTACACAGAACATGCGTCTTAGTGTCGGCAGGCACTGAAGTGGTTCACACACTGATGTGTACGTGGCCATGTGGCCTCTGCTTAATGGGTGTACAGCATTTAAAGGTTATTTTTCGGTAAATGATTTGTAAAAGGCTCCATTTGAATTTTCTTTCAGTGCTGCAGGTGGAGAAATTTTCAACCTGTGTTTACCTGAGTTGGCTGAAATGATATCTGAAAGTGATGTTATCAGGCTCATTAAACAAATACTTGAAGGAGTTTGTTATCTACATCAGAATAACATTGTCCACCTTGATTTAAAGGTATGGTGGTGTGATTTAAACTGACACAACATTGTGTTCTTTCCGTGCTCTTGGAAGGTGCAGTGTTGGGCTGGTGATAGGGACTGGTTGAGACTGCGGCGGTGCCCTCTGCTCTGTGCGCTGCGTGACTTTACTTTGTGTTGGCAGACCGGCTGCATGTGCGATAAGATTGAATTAGGTCACTTAAACTCCATCACCCTTACACGGAGTTCTGCAGTCCTCCACTCTGCATCGTCTTCCCTAGCACCTCCTCCTTTGAAGTGATTGCTGCTGTTCCCTGTCTGGTACACTCTTTGCTCCTCATTGCTCTGCTGCATATCTCACTCATCTTTCTCTACGGCATCATGGCCTGTCTCAGCAGATTAGTCGGAATCCTTACCAGAACCATGGACACTGGTCACGCTGTCTGTCCATGCTTGTCTTTCCTCTACAGCTGCTCACATGCCTTACAGTCTGAAGGAGCCTGTCATCTTTATAAAACAATGGATTCTGCTCTGCCTATATGGTTTGCCTGCACAAGCCTTTGGGCTCCTTTGCCACTTTCAGAATAAAATTTCAAAATCGCTGTTTATCATGGCCCAGGCCTAGCTCTGATTTCCAATTTTTTTTTCAGCTGTGGATTCAATTTAAATCCATTTGGAAGTTCTGTAAATACTTTGAAATACACGTTGCTTAGATATTTCTCCTATAAATACAAAATAAACAAACAAAACAAAAAAAACCAAGCCCCATCTGTATTTGTTCCCCTGTAGAACAGGAGGAAATGTTTACGGTCTAGCATTCCCACTGTCTCTTCTGTAATCACATGGTTGGGAAAGAGGCAGCAGAGCAAGTGCCTGGGTGATTTTCTCTGATCAGCGACTTTCTGTCCTGATAAAGGCAAAGTGTATTATACCGCATCTCGAGTACTTGAAGTCAGGATGTCCTATAAACTTGGCTTTTCACACCATAGCCATGAAGTTGACAATAGGGTTTGCCTCCTGTAATTGTCTCTTGTCATTTTTTATCAAGCATGGCTGGCATTGTCACCCAGCTTAGTGACTGTTAGGATTTTGCACAGACTTTGAGCAGCACTTGTACATTTATAATGGGCTCTGATAGGGCATCGTCTCTACACCTGTAACCGTAAAGTCAAGTCATGTGGCTCTAGGGGACACTGGAGGATACATGCATCTTACTGACTAAGTGATAAACCTTGGGATAGTCAGGCCCAGCTGTGCAGAACCACTTTCTGCTCTGGACATGGATATGCATGCTGATGTCATGCTTACCTTTCTGTCCCTCAGAGCAGCTTTCTAACTGACATGTTCCTTCTTTTCCTGTAAGACGTAGCTTGAACGTCATCTCTACTGCAGGGCCTTCACAGGTTTGTGTCTGTGTGTGTGTGCCTGTGTGCATCTGTGTGGGTATGTGAGTGTTCGCCACTTGAACTTTTTGGGGGTTAAATTTGGTGCTCTTGCTTTTATTACTAACACATTCCATATCTCATAATCGATCTAACATCCTAAAAACTGAAAATCCTTGACTGCTTTTTAATGTCTTCATTATGAAATGTGTACGCCTTCTAATTGAGAGTCCAACAGACGTTGGGATGAAGTATGCTGAGAAGTGTGTTCTACTCGGTTTACCTGTATCTAGGAGCATCTTTGTTGTCTGTTGCTTATAACCTTTCGTATGCTTTATTTAGCCACAGAACATACTGTTGAGCAGCATTTACCCACTTGGGGACATAAAAATTGTAGACTTTGGAATGTCTCGAAAAATTGGGAATGCATGTGAGCTTCGGGAAATCATGGGAACACCTGAGTACTTAGGTAAGAATTCCATTTTTTATACATTTTAAAATTTATAAAGATACATCTTTAAAAGTATATTTTATGATGGAGTTGTAGCTCATGTGGTGGAGTGCTTGCTTAGCACCAAAAAAACAATACCAGGATTCATTTTATTCAGAAAGTTGAATGCATTCAAATTTAGTTATGACTCATTAGATGACTTATAATGAATATAGAGATATGTAAGCATTTGGAACAACTCACAGGATATTGGCTACGTGTAAAAGTACAGGGCGTGTTTATACTGGCTTTATATGTAGGGAGAAAAGAAAAGCTTAAAAGGGAAATCAGTAGAAAATAGGCAAGAGACAGACTCAATTGGTCCGTGAGCCTCTGAGACCAGCTGAACATGTAGCTCTCATTTCTGCTCCTGTCTAGTCCTGGCCCTGAAGCTGTACGCAGTGCAGTCTTTGGTTTTGCAGGTGCCATTCATTGCTGCTATTGTCTTCAAATGTGAGGGTTTTTAATAGGGCTGTAAAGAGAGGATTCTGGGTAAAAGGGTACCCAAGAAGATGACGAGGCAATCTAGGATAATGTACTAAATCAATACATTTGATTGTGCATACAAAAAATTTTTGTGATATATAAAACAGCATATATGCTGTAATTTTTTATCTTTTTGTTATTGTTCAAATGGACCTTCTGTTGGAAAGATAAAGCTAAGCAGAGGAGGTCCCATGGAAGAGACAGTTATCGCCCGGAAATGAGCAGAGCTCACTGTTGAATGCTCACGTGGCCTGTAGTATCCTAGACGACATAGTTGTAGTTAGTAATGACAGAGCTGCCAGAAGGATGCAGAAAGGTCGTAAATAGTTTGGTGACACTGAAAGCATATCTAATTCAAAGGTGTCAATCATGAGAATGCTAGAGTTGAGACACTGTTTTTTGAAGAGATTATAAAAGCCCATTGAGAAACAGTCCATTCTCAATTGTAAATACTATCTAGAAGTTCACTGCAGGGTTCAGGAAGTATAGATAATTTACTTTCCATTTCATGAGGACAAGGAAAGACACAGGTAGAAATTGCTTAGGGAGTTAGGTTTTTGATAATTTAAGAATATTTAATCTGTTTGAGAATCTTGGCATTTATGAGAAACCTTTTTTTTCCTTACAATGTAATAAGAACATGATCCATTTTACCCTGAAAAGATAAACTTACATGAAGCCAACAAAATAATATACATTAATAACAAAGCAGTTAAACTACAGTTGTAAAGATTGTGGCTCCTACCATTTCATTCCTTCATACTGCTTTTTCTGAGGTCAGCTTGAATGCACTGTTCTCCCGCATAAGAACTGCCAAGCTCCTCTAGGACAGTAGGGACTTGGCCCAATGCCCGCTTCTTCATATGATTTTCAAATATTATATATGTCCTAGTTTCTAATCTCAAAATAATTAAAATTCACTAAATTCCTATTGAGTTCCTATTACTCTGCCTTCCATAAGCAAATCAAGTTCTAATTTAATGCAAGGTGATTATTAGTTTTAAAGTTTACCAATGTTGGGTCTTAATTTAATTTTCTCTTTCAGCTCCAGAAATTCTCAACTATGATCCCATTACCACAGCAACAGATATGTGGTAAGAGTCTATTGTAATCTAAATATCACCTTTCAAAATTGAATAATATATATTAAAATACAGTTTTAATAATAAAAATAAGGCTTTCTTTAAAAGATTTTATTTAAAAGGTATCATTGAAGAATTTTTATCTACCTGTCTTTTTCAGTAAGCTCTTGAGCCAGAGGCACAGAAATGGAAACTCCCTCTCATTGATCACCTCAGTTGAGTAAGAATGAGCCAGCCTATGTCTGACACACACTGTGTAGTCAATGAAATGCTCAAGAAGCCAGGATGATGCCTCAGTCAAAGCGCAATGCCCCGCCTAGCTCTGCGAGTCTAGAGGCATTAAGCATTTGCTGAGTAGAATGAGGTCAGAGGCACACACAGGCTCGGGGTTATAAGGGTTCAGCTCTAGGGAATTGTGGGGTTTGCAGCTTTCTCAAAGAGACCCTCACAGTAAGCAGTACGAGGATGGCACTAGAACTTCTCTTGTGACCACAGATCAACTAACTGACTCTGTAGACCAAGTGAAGAGTTTAGCCTTATTGCCCTGGTTCTTTGAAATTAATGGGTTTGCAACAATACAAAACGTCTGATTGCCAAGTCCACAGTAAAGTATGCCTTGCTCAGTTGTTCTGGCTCCTAATGAGCTTGTCCATAACATATTTGCAGCTCTGAGAAATTTTGCCCATCCAGCTTTGTACTTTTCCTGACTTGCAGACTTGAGTTTTCACAGAGCCCTGGTTACATCACTCAGGGCATTATTGCCATTGGACAGACCAACAAGAGTCTTCAATGAAAGTTGCATAGACTGTAGAGGAAGTGGTGTTTTCAGCAGATTATATTGATGTCATACGTAACATACATATGGCATCCTGTTCTCTTTTTGAGGCAAATGGAAGTGCCACAGCTATTTCAGTTTTTAATGGCACAGCAATCTCTAGAAGCAGCTTAAGTCTTTTTTTTTAAACTGTGCCAGATTTGAGGATATGAATTTTTGGACTACTAATTATATTGCCTATAAATATTGTTAAATTATTGTGCATTTTAAGTTCTTTCTCCCTTATTTGTTTTTCAGGAATATTGGCATAATAGCGTATATGTTGTTAACTCATACATCACCATTTGTAGGAGAAGATAATCAAGAAACATATCTGAACATTTCTCAAGTTAATGTGGATTATTCAGAAGAAACTTTTTCATCAGTTTCACAACTGGCGACAGACTTCATTCAGAGCCTTCTAGTAAAGAATCCAGAGTAAGTAATGACATTAATTAATTGCTGTTACAGAACTAATTGCATGTGCCTATAAAAGATATATTCTGCACAAAAATGTAATTAATGTATGTTTTATATCCCACATTTGGAAACTGCTGGGGATAATGACCTGAAAGTTGAAGGGAACTACTGCGAAAGAGGGTGGCCTAAGGGGAAGGGTGGGTAAGAGACCTCAGTAATAAAAACTGCATTATTGCATGTATAAAATTATTTCAGTGAAATCGTTTTGTAAAACTAAAAATGCTAGTAAAATAACATTATATTAAAGTCACAAGGTACATTCTAAAGTTATATAAATACACAATGGAATACTATTCAGCAATTAAAAACAAGGAAATCATGAAATTTGCAGGCAAATGGTGGTATCTAGAAAAGATCATCCTGAGTGAAGTATCCCAGAAGCAGAAAGACACACATGGTATATACTCACTTGTAAGTGGATATTAGACATATAATATAGGATAAACATACTAAAATCTGTATGTAAAGAAGCTAAGCAAAAAGAACCCTGGGTAAGATGATCAATCCTCGCTCAGAAAGGCAAATGGGATGGACCTCAGAAGAGGGAGAAAACAGGGAACAGGACAGGAGCCTACCGCAGAGGGCCTCTGAAAGGCTCTCCCCAGCAGTGTATCAAAGCAGATGCTGAGACTCATAGCCAAAGTTTGGGCAGAGTGCAGGGAATTTTATGAAAGAAGGGGTGATAGAAAGACCTGGAGAGGACAGAAGCTCCACAAGGAAAGCAAGAAATCTGGGCCCAGGGGTCCTTTCTGAGACTGATACTACAACCAAGGACCATGCATGAAGATAACTTAGAACCTCCAAGGCAGCTCTGTCTCCAAGTGGGTGCCCTACTAAGGGGAACAGGGCCTGTCTCTGACATGAACGGATTAGCCTGCTCTTTGATCACCTCCCCCTGTTGGGGGAGCAGCCTTACCAGGCCATAGAGGAAAAGAATGCAGCCTGATGAGACCTGATAGGCTAGGGTCAGATGGAAGGGGGGGAGGAGGACTTTTCCTATCAGTGGACTGGGAGAGGGCCATGGGAGGGGATGGGGAAGGGAGGGTGGGATTGAGAGGGAATGAGGGAGGGGGGCTACAGCTGGTGAATAAACTGTAATTAATATAAAAAAATTTTAAAGTAATTTCAAAAAAATAGACTATTTGGAAAAAAGTCAATTTGCATTTACAAATTGGCAAAGTGTAATGAGAGTTGATATGAAAAACCATTAAATAACAAATCTGTAACTCTAAGCAAAAAACACAACAGGAAGTTTAGAATGAAGATGATATTTGAGGTAATATTTTCTCAACCAGCTGCTAATCTTTGGCTTACTATGATGGGACTTCAATGTGAATGATTTTTAGTTAAATAAGTCTGTTACATAACAGGCACAAATGATTGCCAAATCTTAAAGGATTAAACGTCTGCTCATGTATGGATTCATTTTATATATATGAATGTTGAAATTTTGATTGCTTAAAGAAAGAAAGCCATGAGCTATAGAGTATCTTTCACTCTGGCATGTGCTAAAAATAAAAATTCAATGCATCATGGTATTTACTGAAAAAAAGACTTGACCTACCTCCAGACACTTGATCACCGGCCACTCAGACACAAGGAGAGGCCCAGCTCTTCTTTAAGAAGGCTTGTGTCCTAGAACTATAGCTTGGGGCCAGTGGCCTCACCTTCCAGACTTCTGTTCAGGGCAGTGAATCTCTTGGAGGACTCAGTTTGTTTATTTATAGTTTGAATCTTGACAGCTCTTTGAACATGTATACCTATTTTATATAAAGAGTAATATTGTGTTTTCTGTTTATAAGCCATTTGTTTTCTTAGTCTTTGCTTTTATTTTAAATATTCTGAAATGAGTATTAATTATAAAAAGACTACACACAAAAACAAAAAAATGGAAATATCTGCCTACCGATGATTCCTGTGTAACTTTGAGCTTATAGGTTTCCCCTTCTTTTGAATAACAGTAATCTATTTATTTATTTTTTCATTTATTATTTATGCAGTATTCTGCTTGCGTGTGTGCCTGCATGCCAGAAAGCACCAGATCTTGTTATAGATGGTTGTGAGCCACCATGCGGTTATTGGGAATTGAACTCAGGACCTTTGGAAGAACAGTCAGTCCTCTTAACCTCTAAGCTGTCTCTCTAGCCCAGAAAGCAATCTTAAGATTCAAAATATTAGATAAATTATCATTGAAGCTATAATTTCAAAAAATTAACAGTTAATGTTTAGAGCATAAACTAAGATAGAAAATAAGTTACTGGTTTATAGTTCCTCCAAAAGCTTTTCAAATTGAAGGGATCTGAAAATAAAGCAAGTGTTTTTTTTTGTGTAATAAAGGATATCTAAAATCAGTGGCAAAACTGATACCTAGTTAGTGGCAAGCAATCATGGTCACTGACTAATGTTTTCTCCAAGTTGTGCTTCCAAGAAGAGATTTATAGAAAGTTTTTTTGTTGTTTTACCTTACGCAAATATGAATTCAAGGCTGAGGGCATAGCTAAATGGTAGATTTGTCCTCTTGTGTGTGAGGCCCTGGTATTTGCTCTTCAGCACTGAAAACTAGGGCATATAACAAAGATTAGAGAAGAAAGGTCTAAGAACAAATAGTTTTCATAGTCTTCTAGAAGATACTGCTATTATTGCAAGTTAAAGGTAATTGGGGGCACCGAAAACCTTATTTAAAATTTCATACTATGAAGAAAACAAGTACATTTTAGAAAGCATCTAGAATGCATCGTCAGTGTTGAACAAGTCATCGCTTGTAACATCTAGAGTTTGGAAGCATCAGTAGGTGTCTGGTTAAATAGATTATGGTATACCGGAATGGGAGCATAATAAATAAATAAAATATTTTTAATCAGTATTGTAGAAGGATACTTAAAATGTATTATCTACTTTGAGTTACCACCTCACCCAGTCAGAGTGGCTGTCATCAAGAAACTTAATAACCCATGTTGGAAAGGATGTGAGGAAAGAGGAATACATATTCCCTGAGTGTGAGAGTGCAAATTAAAATAGTCATTATGGAAATCAACTTGTAGGTTTTCTAAAATTCAAATAAATTATTATATGACCCAGGTATTTTACATAGACCCAGAGGACATAGACCCAGAGGAACGCTATATTCTACCAAAGAGATAATTGTACATCCATGATTATTGGTGCTTTATTTATGATAACAAGGAAACAGAAGCAAACTAGATGTTCATAATAGATAAATAGGTAAGGAAAATGTAGTACATATACAAAATGAAATATTACTCAGTTGTAAAGAAAAATCATGAAATTTACAGGAAAAGGGGTGAACTTGAAAACTATCATATTAAGCATGAGGTGCCTCAAATTAGAATTAAAAAAAAAAAACGTTTCCTTCATATGTGGATCTTAGACATGTAAATATACATGTATATATGGAAACAGCTCAAAGTGTAGATATAATGTTTCATTTACAAAGGAGACCAAGACAGGGTAATAATAGGTGATGAGGAAGGATGGATTGCAGGCCAAAGGACACACGAGTCATGAAGGAGGATATAAAGCTAATTGTTTGTCTAATTTAAACTCTGTCACAGTTTTTTTTCTTTTTTCTGTATGTGTGTGTGTGTTGATGGTGGTAGGTAAGTGCATAAAAAGGTAGCTGACAGTGAAAATGTAAAATCCTAAGCTTCATGTCTTGAGAATGTCATTCTAACTATGCAGAAGTTCACTGAGATGTGTAGTTTGGGACTAGACAATTGTTTGAGTGGCTACTTAATCTAGCTGCAGGATGTTTTTATTTGTGAACTCCTTGCAATAAACTGGTGTTATTTACTGAAAGTTAAATGGTTTATACTCAGGTGGGCAAAGAAAGCAGTGAGTGCTCCTCCAGGAGTTAATGTGACCTAGCTCCACCTGCCCTCAGTAAACCTATTTCCTAAAGCTTCTGCACCTTCCAACATGCCACAGGCTGGTGGCTACAACTTTAACACAGGGCCTTTGGGGACATATTTACTATCCAGACATCACATGCGACACTGATAGCTTGGGAAAATTTGCATCAAATGCAAATGTTCCTCTAATGACGCTGTTAAGTGCCAATAATGGTAACCCACTTCTTAGGTTTCTTGTGATTATTAAATAATCTATTGGAGGCATTTAAAATAGCCCCTGGTATATATCTAAGCATTTAATAACAGCTGTATCTACCATACCATTTGCACTGTATGATGTGTGCTATCATCGTGTTCATTTTAAAATGTAGTTGGAAGATGTCTTCAGCTTGCTTTGAGTCTCATCTTTCCCTTTCTGCTTTCTGCCAAAGGAAACGACCAACAGCAGAATCCTGCCTTTCTCATTCTTGGCTTCAGCAGTGGGACTTTGGAAGCTTGTTCCATCCTGAGGAAACTTCAGGTTCCTCTCAAATTCAGGATCATACCCTCAGGTCCTCTGAAGATAAGGCCCCCAAGTCCTCCTGTAATGGAAGCTGTGGAGACCGGGAAGACAAGGAGAACATCCCTGAGGACGGCAGCATGGTTTCTAAGAGGTTTCGCTTCGACGACTCCCTGCCCAGCCCCCATGAACTCGTTCCAGATTTACTCTGTTAGCACTTTTCTCTGTGACTCATCTGGACTGACTTGGATATTTGAAATCTCTGGTGTGAGATTGAGTTTTTAGCTTCATATATAATGTGTTTATATTATAAATGCACTTTGCTTAGAAGAACTTAAGGAACAGTTTAAATGCTAGATTTCTATTTGCTAGCATATCATTTCCTATCCTGAAATTGTTTTACAGAGAATAATATTTAAATATATGACAAACATGTAAATTGTGCATGTGAGTACACATGCAATTGAAAGAATTCAAGTTCAGTTGAACTTATAAAATGTTTTACATATCAAGAAAAATGGGGTGTATTATGGTTAGTAAAGATTGAACAAAATGAAAACATTAGAATTTAGTAGGTTCTCTCTAAGGTGAGCCTGTACCATAACTGTTGACAGAATTTATTTGGGGAAATACTATCAAGTGTAAACCACAGTATGTACTGCTTTACAAGTACTCCAGAGACATTTTACAATTGAAATGCTTCCCAGCTACCAATAGCTTGAAACCTAGGAATGACTTTCTTTGTGTGCCATATGCCCTGTGAGAGGGCCCAGTCAACAGCATAGAGGAAGCAAGACTGATCCAGGTGTTTCTCTGCAAGCTGAATCAAAGCATGGCATCATTTCTCAGCTCTTGTATCTTGCACATTCATCATACATCAGATCTAATAAGATCTGGAAGATGGGTATGAATGGTATGCAAATAAAAGAGGCCCTCACCTTCTAGAGGAGAATTGGGTAAAACCAAATGTGTTCTAATTTCATTGTCAGGAGTATTCACAAAGGGAAATGTTAAGACTGCACAGCTTGCTTAATCTTGGGTGTCTCCTAAGTCTCTGAAGGCAAGCCCATCACTTGAAGTGATCCATAAAGATCCAGAGAACTTTTAACACCAGAGTCCTTAGTAGGCTTAGACACTTCTGGAGTTCTTGTGTGAAATTCCTGTGAGTGCTTGGCATGCAGCTATCCTCAGGGTCCTGTGTGCGTGTTCTTCTGGGAGCAGCACAGTGAGAGCCTAGTGTTGAGGCAGTGGTCTGAACCACATTCAGTCCTGCTGGGAGGGGCTCGGGAGTGCCTGGCGGTTTCCCACTGGTGTCTGTTTAAAGGTCAGCAATAAGTCGTGTTAAGATACTGGTCTCATAAATAGGCTAGTATATCAAACTTCATTGAAATGGGTATTAATCTAACAACTGTAAATTCTTGAAATTGTTAATAAAATTTCAAATTCTTTAGATAACTTGAAACTGTTTAAAATGGCATTGGTGTGTGTTTGACCAAACGTCGAGTTCTTTTTACATCTTTGTCATTTTTAAAGGAGAAGTCCTTTGTATATGTGTGTATAGGTGTATGTGTACTGGTATAGATATAAATGTATAGATAGATAAAATACATCTTTTAAACAACTTTATCTTAGACATTCTTGGCTTGTGTATTATACTCAACTCAGGTGCCAACGAAACCCTCTTTTTTGGATAATGAAGTGCATATACAATTCTTTAGAAGTAGGCTATTGGCCCAATAAGCCGAACACTGAAGATGCTAAACTTAACTCTTGTGTGTCTAAAATGGATGAGTTGTTGGTAAATTGTTGATTGCTAATCAGATAAAGTCACTAGTCAGTCACTAGGAAATGTGAATACTTTCTCAGAAGATGACACTTTATTGTAAAACTTTAAAAAGCATTATGCCAGACCCCAAAAGTAAACATTTGAAAATTTAATTTTAAGCCACTTGTTAAAAGCCACTTTTATTGCCTTAATTTTTCTCTGAGGGTCCTGAGATAGTTTGTGTGTCCTCTTTAGTTAATGGGCTACCATGTTGTAAATCCCCACACCTTTTTTTGGGTCACTGTTTATTGTAAAACAGTAGTTACTGGTTGCACACATATAAAAAACGATTTCTTTTTCCATAAAAGTGCATTTAAATATTTTCCATGTCGAAATGTGGAAATAAATGTCTTTTTGAGAGAATTTACCCCAAAATGTATTAATTCTTCTCCCCCCCCCCAAGATTGAAGAACAAGTCTGCCTGGAGGAGTCATGTTGCCCAAACAGGATCTGAAGAACACCCCTGTCGGCAGCTCAGATAGCGCTGGCGGAGCAGTTCAAGTGTGGTGGCCCAGGAAACTCACCTTGCCATTTGGATGAATTGGGTGGGTGGGTGGAATTTTGAAATAGGCATTGCGTACAAGGCAATGGGATTGTCATTTTAATTATTTTCCCACATTAGCAGTGGAATTCTAACCACACTGGAGACAAAGCTGCCAGAGCACTGGGTTAGCATTCTGGTGGGTCTTTGAAGGAGTCAGCATTTCTTGTGGAAAATATTGGCTGAACCAGGTGTCTGCTGATAGATTTTTCATTGTGGTATAGCTCCTTCGTTTTGGATGGGTTAAAAGTGATTCATCGGCCATAGTTTAGCCAGGAAAGCAGCATGTCTTGGTACTTTGGTACTGTCTGCTTCTGCTAGTTTGATATTCAACCTAGAATCATGTCCATATTTGAAGTGATTTCATTTCAATTTCAAATTGTGTTAAAATTATCTGACTTCCAATTGTAGGGTCATTACCAATTTTAAATTTTCTAAAGTTAGTTTGAGCAACAATTGTAAAGCTCATGTAAAATTATGATTGCCCTGCAGTCCTAACATTCATTAAATAAAGTGTTTAAGGTATGTAACAAATGTTATAAAAAATTTCAGACTAAAACCCCAAAAAGCTGCAGATTGTCAACCTAACAGTACTTGTTGCTGAGAATTAAAACATTTAAAAAAAAAAATCTGCCTGTGTTTTAAAGCAATTTAAAACCTGCACTTCTCAAATCCTTTCCCAGAAGGTCTAGCTTTGGACACAGGCAGCCTCTGAGCTCTTTCCAGTACAGCTGTGTTGGTTTGGTCCTGTCCATTGCAAAAGCCATGAAACAGGCCTGTCCCCTCGTACTAATATGTCAGCACGTGACAGTGCGCTGTGCCCTGCATAAAAGGCATGCGTTGGAGAGTCTGCTCTGTGACTGAGGTAGCGTTGATCCCATTGTTCGTGGTGTTAACAATTTGTATAAAGTTCCCACTTTGCTTCTTGGGAAATACAAGGCTGTGCTTCTCCGACCTCTTGTAATTTTTTTTGTAAGCCAATCTGTATATAGCCTCACTTAAGTGTTTTGCTGTTTCAAAACTATTTAATCTATATTCCTGGGTCATTAACTTTGAGCTGTCTGGAAATAGTGGTGTATGCTTGTAATGGCAGCACTGGAGAGAAAGAGGCAGATTCAAGGCCAGCTGTACCCGTGAGTGCCAGACTAGTTGGACTACGTACAAGACCCTGTCTCGTAAAAGCCAAAACAAACAAACCCCTGTGCCTAGCGTTAGTGCTGAACTCATGGCTGTAGGTATCAACTCCTAACCTTCTTTGTCTAATTCTCTCCGCAAGGCATATCACAGCCCTCGAGGTTTAGGGACCAAGTACATGGCATCGCACTTCTTTCTGTCAGTATCGTGTTAAATTGAAATCAATAAAGGTATACATTTTTTGAGATAATAAAAGTTCTGTGAAAGTATACTGCTTTAAAGGATGAGGTTTACCTCCGCTGAGAACAAGTTCTGTCAGGTGCATTTTCCTTTGAGAAAACAAGATCATGGGAGAACCCACAAAATATTTTTCTGGCAATTTTGGACTCTGAGGCTTCTCTGTGAGATCAGCCCGTTTGTGAACTGTTCCTAGCAAAGGCAGCAAGTGGCTGAGACTGAAGGCAGTGCTCATGGACACAGGCTTCCCTTGGATAAAGGGAGAAGGCCTATTTTAGTGGGAAATGCTAATTTCAGTTCTAGCCCTCTCCCCCACCCCCACCCCCATCCCCAATAAGAGAAAACAAAACAACAGTATGTAGACTCTCATCTGGATAAAGAAATCAAAGTGACACCAATTCACACCATCTGGAATCTATCTATACTTAGGATATTTAGCAAAGGCAAACTTTGGGATTCAATCCTTGGCACCACCAAAAGCCCCCCAAAACTAACCCCACCCCACCCCAACTCTATACAAAAAGAAGAAAAACAATTAAAAAACCTAAAATCTTTTAACGTTCATTTTTCAGCACTGAAAAAATAAGACCAGTTTTCTCCTTAGGAAGTTTTCAGCCAAATTACAGTAAAGCCAGTTCTGTTGTAAAGTACAAGAAAGGACATGCAAGCCAGTTCCGACACACAGAGAGCAGCCAGCAGAGGCAGAGGTGAAGGGGCTGGAGGCCATCCTAGGCCAACCACAGAGCAAGGAGCCTCTGGGATAGGGCTCAGCCTGGTTTTGTTTTGATCACTGATAGTATTCTGAAAATGCCCAAAGGGCATTTGCTTTTGGAGGAACAAATTTAAAGAATTAGATGAATAATGAAGTCAACTGTACATAATAAACTACAAAGTGTACTGGAAAAAAAGGTGTGTGCTATTTGTCAATTCCACCTGTATGGGGCGCCTTTGAAATTACATGCCTTGCCTTGCAAGGTCCAGACTTTATTGTCTTGTTCTGACACATAAGAAGTTCCTTTTTTTTTTTTTTTTTAGCTCAGATTTTTTTTTTCCTGGGTATTAAATCAAATGCATCATTTCCATTGGGTATAATCTAAGCATCCTCAAATATCTGAAAAATCACAGCTCTCCCCACCCAAGATTACTTTCACATATAAACCCTTGAGTCTGTATCCTGCCTCACTTAAGATAGCATCACTCACCCATGTAGCACAGCTGGGATCTCTAGATGTTATTCCACTTTTTATATTTCCTCGCCTCAGCCCTTTTAATCAACCATTAACTTTTAATTCATAGTTCCTCACTGTACCCTGTGATCCTCTTGATGCCTACCACTCAGTTTTCAGTCCAGATCAAGGTATACTGGGGTCGGCAAAGTTCTTCTCTAAAAGGCCAGCTGCTGGCGCTGGAGAGATGATCAGGGGTTAAGAGTATTTATTTGCTGTTCTTGCCAAGGACCTGAGTCCAGTCTCCAGCATTCATATCAGGTGGCTCACAGCCAGCTCCAGCTTCAAGGGATCCAACCTTGTCTTCTGACCTCCAAGGGCACCTGCACACACACGTGCATTCTAAGCACATAGACACACAAACTGGCATAAGGAACTTTTTAAAAACTTAAAAGTCTTTTAAGGGCTAGTTGTTAAACATGACAAGTTTAATAAGCTAGACGGTTTCTACTATAACTGCTAACTTATCGTCATGAAGTTTCCAGTAAAAATGTATTAAGATAGACAATGGGGCATTTAGTCAATCCCAACCTAGATGTTCATTGCAATGATGCTTTACTTATTTCCCTGGCTATAATGTGATTAAGATGGGAGGAAAGGTCAAAAACAGGGCTGGGGCCGAAGAGATGGCGCAGCATTGAGAGCAGTTACTGCTCTCCCAGAGAACCAGAGCCCACATCAGGTTGTTCACAGAAGCTTCTAACTCCAACTTCAGGAGATCCAATGCCCTCTGGCCTCTGCGGACACTTGAAAGCACGTTGTGCGCGTGAACTCACACAGGCACACATACAGACACGTAAAAATAAGTTTTAAAAGAGCAGTATAATGCCAACAGCTATGTGAGAAATGACTGGTCTGTCCAACAAGTGGACATTTAGGAAGATTAGAAAACAATCGTTTGACCTATCAACTTCAATGCCATGGAGAATTTATAAGTAATTAAGGAGGGAGAAAGTAGGGGTCATAGGTATAGGTCATTTTCCCAAGAAATCTGGAGGAAGAGAATAAAAGTTGGAAGTGTTTCATCAATGCTGCAAGGATGGAGAGGGCTTGCGGGATGTTTGTGGAGGAGAGTCTATTTGCTGCAAGCTGCCAAAACCTGGCATTGTAAGATGTTTGGTGATTAAAGCATGCCAGCAAAAGTGTTGATCACAATTACAGGGGTCAGGCTGGCTAGAAGAATGCTTTTTAGAGATATAAAAAACAAAAACAAAAAACAGTGGAGGATGTGGAGAGGAATGTAACTTGAGTGAAAAGTTTAGGAAAATGTGGGCAACAGATTGTTTTTAAAGTTTTATTATTTCAAACAATTTTTTAAATTTAAATGTATTTTTATTATCTTATCGCCTTCCTCCGAGTTCTTCCAAGGGGAGAGGTCTCCCTCCCTGGTCACCCAACTTTAAGTTCTTTCTCAAAAAAACAAACAAACCAAACCAAAACAAAACAAAAAACAACCCACACAACGTACTTCCCCAAAACAAAACAAAATAAAAAAAATTTCACCCCAAAAGACAACAAAACAAACCAACAAAAACTCCACTATACTATAACCAAATAAACAAACAAAAAAGCTGTGGACTCTGTTACATGATGGTCAGCTCCCCCTGAACATGAGGCCGTCCTGTGGTGTTTGATATACCTACTTTCACTCTACTCTGATTTCCCCTCTCCCAGCAGGTGTAAGTGACAGTGACAGTTCAGTTGTACCTTTATCCTAGTGTCTAGGTTTTCATTCATTAGTTTTTTTTTAAAGTGTAACAATAAGATATAATATCATGAAAACTATCACATCAAAGTCGGACAGCACAAACCACCAGAAAGAGGGCACAGGAATTCTTGAGTGGTGTCAGATGGGTGGACTGTAGGGTCCATCACAAATACCAAACCATCCTAGTCTGTGATTAAGTAGTTTGGTGTGGAGAGTGTGGCTAAGCAATCTTCACGATGCAAATTTGATGTCTACCAGTATTTCCCCTTCATGTTAAAAGACCGCTTCTGCAGCCTAGAGGGGAAGTCACTGATGTCTCCCATTGGAACTTTTGTTTACAAATATCTGAGCATGTTGGGGAAATGGAATTTTAAAAAGTGAGCAAAGAAACAAGGAGAGAGATATTTGCTGTTAGAGTAAGGCCTTGCCTGATTCCATAATTTAAGTTGAGAAAACCTTGGACCTTGCAGACAGTGGTCCACTGGGAGCTTCCAGGACTAACCCATGACCCAAAGGGCTAC